TTTATTGTTTTGCTTGCTGCTTTCTGATTCATCCCATATGTCATATGTACGAAAAATTTGGTTCTGTACCCTATATAAAGACTTGAGCACCCCCTTAATAAATGCCTTTTGCTTTGCCTGAAGTACTTGTGGTTCGTAATATCAGGGGGAGGGTGAAAAAGCCACTTTGCAAAGGTATTGGGTGTTTCTCTCTCAAATTCAGGGACTAGGTTCTTTCCAGCTCCACACCAACTTGGGTGCCTGAGTTTTAGGGGCAGCAATCGCATCAAGCCTGATAACACACAGGTCGCTGTCTTCTGGACAAGATACCGTTTCCAGGTGGTCCTCAAAGGCAGCTCCTTGTAGAATGCTTTGCAACGATAAAGGCACAAGTCACTGTACAAGGTCCTCCTGATCCGGTGAGGGCTGAAAGTGACACACCAGCCAAAGCTAAGCAAGGACCCTCCTGCTCATGGCCTCTTCCTGCCCCTCCATCAATAGAGGCCAGTCCCTGAGGACTTCCAAATTGCGGAGCTGCTCCCTCAGATCATTGCTACCTCCTTGAGAGACACCGCCAGGGTTGATAGAGCTGTGATGGAACAGCAGTTCTGCCTTGCTCGGGCCCAACCTTAGCCTCTTCCATCCAGAGTCTAACAGTTCCAGGCCCTGAAAAAGCTTCTCCAGTTGGGCCCAGGGTGGCAATGTATAAGGGAGTATCATCAGCATGCAGATGATATCAAATCTAGAACCTCCAGATAATGTCTTTCAGCGGCTTCATGCAGACATTAAACAGCAGGGAGAGAGAACCAGTCCTTGTGGTGCCCCTACAGGAGCAGCCACAAGGCTGACCTCTTCTTCCCATCACCATCCACTGGAAAGCCATCCAATGGTGTAGAACCACTATAAAATAGTGCCTCCAAGTCCCCATCCTGCAGCTAGTCCAGATGGACACAACGGTTGATGGTACTGAAGGCTGCTGAGAGGTCCAAAAGCACCAGGAGGAGTGCATTATCATCATTTGGATCCCAACAAAGATAATCAACCAATTTAGAAGCCTAATCAATCAACCAGTCAACTAGAATGACCAGTGCTGTCTTGGTCCCAGATCCCTGAAACCAGGCTGAAAAGGTTCCAGATAACTCCCTGTAGGACATTTAGTAACTGAATCCCACCACATGCCTAACAAATTCAACAACCAGTTATCAAACACAGCTGAATCTAGAAAGGGCAATTTAAGAGGGGGTGTAGCATATCCTCCTAGATCCATCCCATCATACCCCCATCTGTCCTCTGAAGGATCCAGGAGGGTCATGGGCTTAGACTGCAAGTGACAGGGATCATGCTAGAAAACATCTGTCCATTTCCTCAGAATCCACATGCTAAAAGGAGTCTTAGATGACAAATGTTGCCCCAGTCACCGCTTCTAGCATGATTAATTGCATTCCTAATCCACCATACAGGTAGTCCTTGTTTAGCAACTTCCTTGTTTAACAACCGTTTGCAGTTACAACAGTGATGAAAAAGTAACTTTACTACCAATCCTCATCTTTACAACCTTCACAGGTCTGTAAAGCAAAGGAAAGCTGTAGTCAGATCATAAGCACAATCACGGTTTCCCTTAGCGACCGCTTCGCTTAACGACTGAGTAGCCAGTTCCAATTGTGGTTTCTAAACAAGGGCTACCTGCACAATAATTTTAATACACAATAATAAAGCTTTTAAGGAAGGAAGACCTATTGCCTGGAAAATCTTTCACTGCACACAGAAAACTAGCACATCAAGAACTCTCCCAAGGCCTTCTCAGTTGTAGCTCTCATATTGTGGAATATGCTCTCCCGGCCCCCACTCCTGGTGTTCAAGAAATCTTTTTAAACTTTGAAAATGTTGATGCCCGGCTGTGGAGGGGCGGGGCACCCATTTTAATTAGGTGGTGATTCTTTTTATGTATTGTAAAGGGAATGTTTCATGTTGATATTGTATACCACCCAGATGTATACATGTGTTAATAAAATAATATAGAATCTTCTTCCTTTTGGGCTGTTATGTGGTTGCTCAACCAAACCCCTAATCGAGTGTTGTCCAAACTTGGCCACTTTAAGATGAGTGGACTTCAACTCCCAGAGGAGTTGTACCAGCTGGGGAATTC